TGCCGCCAGCAGTAAACTGCATGTGATGTCATTACACGCGTGCATTAATGAGGTCACGAGTACATGTATTGACATGGGCGACGGTTGACACCCGGCCTGGTGACACCCCTGCTCTAACCAAAGCGGTTCTTGGCCAATGTTATGAGCAAAATCTGCTTTTTTAAATTAAACTACTGACGTGATTAATACAATTATTGATGCGCACCTGAAGCAGTCAATATTGATGTTTTAAAAGGGTCTAAGGCTGGGCATTTCTTCAGTCATAATATAAGTTGATACAATCAAACAATGCAAGCATTGCTCTCACCATATGCCTAATACTAAAAACACACGCCCAGCTATAGGCTGCGTAGAAGATTCATAAGTCAGCCCCATAGAGTCGATTATAGATAATAACCACTTCAGGACCATAGGACTTATATGTACATCTTGATATTAAAGTGGTTATACCAAGATCATGGCTGCTGCTGAAGCTGTGATTTTAGTATTGGTTTTTTTTCAGCAGGCAGAGGACTATAAATTACAAGTGTTGGCTGTAGATCCACTCGATCACTTGTACGGCCTGTATGAGTCTCTTTGTTAGCTTACATTCAGGAATGGCGGACAGTTCTATATGAAATTTTTGTGTCTATGATCACAGATCTTCCATCTGTAACAAAACCAGATGAGAGATCGTCCATGTACAATCGCTATAGCCAGCAAAACCAACACAAGTTTTGTCCTTGACTTGGCGATTTTCACTTCCCTGAGTAAATGATGACAATCCTGGACTGGATGGAGAGCTTCCAATATCCATATCCAGACATTTCAGCATCACTTGCTTTTTAACCCTAACACTATATCGCCAGCCATGATTTGATATAGTGTGATAGAAACATGCACCAGTGGTGTAACTGTAGCCATAGCAGCCCAAACTGGATGCTATGGGGCCTGGAGGGTGGAAGGGGGCCCCATTAGCTTGATGAGGCAAATAAAACAGAGAACATGTGAGGATAATAGCACTGTATCATACTCACAGCTCAGAGAGAGGTCATCAGGGGGTCGCCATCACATTTTTGCTATGGGGCTCTGTGATCTGTAGTTACGGCCCTAACATGCACGGTCCGGTGGCAGAGAAGGCTGGGACCCAGCAGTGCCTGTCCGGTGGCAGAGAAGGCAAGGCAGGGGCCCAGCAGCACCGGCCTGGCAGCAGAGGAGGCTGGGACTCATCAGCGCCAGTCTAGCCGGGGAGAGGGCTGGGGCTCAGCAGTGCAGGTCCGGTGTGTCTGGTGGCAGGGGTAGTGGAGGCTGGGGCCCAGCAGCATAAGCAGGTAAGAGGGGCTGCGTGAGCAGCCTACCTGAGGCTTTGCAGAGCTCACCATACAGAGTCTCAGATGGGCTGTGCAGGATCTATGGTGTGCTCTGCAGGGTCACTCTCAGGTGGGCTGTGTGGGGTCCCAGATGGGCTCCGCGGGGTCTCACGTGAGTCCTGAGTCCAGTGCATTACTAAGTCCACAGTCCAGTGCATTACTAAGTCCTGCGTCCAGTGCGTTACTAAGCCCATAGTCCAGTGCGTTACTAAGTCCTGAGTCCAGCGCGTTACTAATTTATTTACTGTTCTGCATTGCTGTATAATGTATTGCTGGTATTTGTAGTCCCCCTACAACAGATGCCATTCTACATTAGAGTGTAAGCTCCTCTGTACGGAGACTGATGTGGCTGGCTCGGTGTTCTCTGTACAGCACTCTGGTATATGTCAGAGCTATATAAATGTATAATAATAGTATGAGATTGTGCCGGGACCATAAAGGGGGGGGGGGGTGGGGGGCTAGCCACGTAGGCTGTATGGGTCCCCATGATTTCTAATGGCGGCCCTGACCGTAGCGCATTAGCATGCAGCTGTGCCATTTCTTTTAAATAGCACCCCAACACACCAAGACAACACAACTCGGACACCATAGCACACTACTGTGCATCACATGGAAAGAATGCTTCTTGTGAGCTGCCATTTACAACAATGGGCTGCCTTGATGTAACGCATGTGCGTTAACGCAATGCATAAAAACAGCAAACCGTGATTGGGGATCAGTAACTGACAAAGTACTATCAGAAAGAGAGCTTAGAAATGGCAGCCTATGTCAGTGTAGCTGCCCTTTAAATCTTGTATGTTGGGAAGTGGATCCAGCAGAGCTGTCACATTTCCAGCCAGAAAATACAAGTAGGACATGTTGTGACTTCAGCTGACTGATGTGTAATGCTGCATGTACTGTCATCGTCATCCTCCCCCTGAATTCCAGCTGCTGCACTTCGGTCAGGAAGGGGTTACATCCAGAGACAGCGGCATTGCAGCTGGTTAACCCCCTCCCTGCCTCCCTTCCACATGATGCAACAAGCTGCACACCCAGACAAGGGTTAGCACAGCCGGCTGACACACCCCTATACTGCTATAGGCTGTCGGCTCCCGCTGCCTGCTTGTCATTGGTCAATCCCCGATCCCATCCCCCTTCACATGTCAGTGAGTGTCAGGCAGCTCCGTGTAATGTAGAGGAGGAGGAGGAGGGTCTCCCTCCCCGTGCTGCACCGCTCCTCCCCTCCTCCTCCCTTTTATTCTCAATCTACTTTTTTTCCCTTCTCTCTCCTTAGGCATCAGGAAGTAGTTACAGGCTGATCGGCGCATACTTCTTCCTCTGGATCACTCTGACTTGTTTCCCTCATACATTGCTGGGTTCCATATAGCCTTCCCATCATTGGATCTTCAATAGGCGGCTGATGTTGGAGTTGCAGGATATCGCATTACCTTCATAAACGAAGATCTGGTCGTTCAGTTGGAGTAGTCTGAAAGTGATCGGTATAGACATCTGTGGATCCACATTGGACCATCAGCACTGGGATTCCCCAGCATTGCCCCGGACTGAGCTGCTCCTTTGGCTTGGATGCCAGCTGTTCTGCTCTGCTTGCAGATGTGGCCACAGCCGGAGGAGCCCGATCTAGCTCCAGGCACATCGCTCGAATACAAAGCATAGAGGATCGTCCTGTCTGACCTGAATCACCAACCCCCATCGTCGGTTGGCTGATCACATGACTGGATAGTGTTTGGATTATGATCGGTCCTGAGGTTTCCCTTCCATGACCCGCTGGCAGCCCTGGGATCCCAACTGTCACTGTTCCTGTTACTGATCTTCCCTTCCACCCTCATCACTTACCTGCAACCTACCTGACCTCCTTCCCACAACGCAGCAATTCAATCGGTGTTAAGGATCTTCAGATGTAACCCCCCAAACCAAGGACAGGGTGGGGGTCCTTTCTGAATGCCTTTACAGGGTTTCTGGTGGTGGGTTTGCTGCAGGCATGGGTTCACTCTCCTGGGCAGGGAGTATGGGGAGAAGGAGGAAGAGGAGGAATCATTCGAGATGAAGAGCACCCAGGTCCAGATGAACAGCAGAAACGTAAGTTTACTATACGAATGGAAGTTTAGTATATATACATATTTATATCTGTTATATATATACACATAGATCCATCCATCCACAGGGGTAGACTCCACGGTCTTCTGTGCTCCTATCTGTGAAATCCTGGAAAATATAAGGCATTATGGCAAAAATAATCGCAAAGATGTAGCTACGTGACACTGTAAAAGCTGCCTTCAATTGTATCGAAAGCCAACAGAGTAGGGATCAGTTAGAACCTCTGTCAGAATCTCTCTGGGGTCTGTGTCCCCTTTAAGGTGACCATACACTATACAATCTGAGTGTACACTCGCCTTTCAATCTACAATGAACGGTGTAGTACAAGGATCTACCTGATTTGATCCTAATACAGGTCTGGACAAGTTCCAGGAGCCAGGTCGCCAATGCTCCTTAAACAATTGACATCCGCGGTGCTAAACCCCCTTCCCATCCAGGCCATTTTTCAGTGTTCAGCGCTGCGGTATTTTGACTGACATTTATTCCGTCATGCAGCGCTGTACTGAAATGAATTTTATACCCTTTTTTGGGGACAGATAGAGCTTTCTTTTGGTGGTATTTATTCACCACTGGGGGTTTTATTTTTTACTATATTAAGGAAAAATTACCAACTAACATATCTAACGATATCTAACATGATATCTAACGTGTGTAGCGCAGTTGTCGTTTTCGCGCGCTGGTGCACCGGACGCATATTTACGTTTATATGTGCGTAAACGTAGGGGAAACTGGTTAAAAATGACAGCTGGGACCTAACTTTTGAGGTTCTCTCTAGTTTTGCATTTAATGGAACGGCTCCTAAAAAAAAAATCCTGCTGGCTCCTGGATTGGACAGACTGGCTCCTAGATTGGACAGACTGGCTCCTGGATTGGACAGACTGGCTCCTGGATTGGACAGGATCCTGAATTCCATATTCATTTGTCCACCGCTGTGCTAATGCAGTGGACTGCAGTGGACTAGACCCGATTCCTCCATCAACACTGACAGCGTGTCCATGGAGGAAATCCTGCTGTTTACATTGTATTCTGACAGGAGCCGCCGGCCCCTGTCAGAATACCCGACCAGAGCAGGCAACTCATTGGCTGCCGGCTCTGATCGATCAAAGATTTTCCAACCGGTTCCTTCCATCAGCTGATTGAGGGATGCCGATGGAATAGGTGCAGACAGCCCCACACACTGTGAATTTCACACTGTGTGTGAATTTTGGCCAATTCCTCAAAAACCCGCCGAAATTCGCACAGTGTATGGGCACCGTAAGGCCTGGTTCACACCTGGGCGATTGAGCTGTTTGTCGCGCTTTATTCTTTTGCATGATTTTACGTTGAAATCGGCATGCTTTTCGATGCATAGATATGTCTATGGGACCAAAACCGCGCGACAACTGGCCAAACATTGCTCCTGCACCTTTTTGCATGACAGGCGATTTCGCCCGCGCGACGCAACGCAAATGTGTGAACAGCCTCCATTGACTTAAATGTGAATCTGTGCAGATTTAGCCACATGATATCGCGCAAAATATCGTGGAATCCCGCTGTTTACATTGTATTCTGACAGCTGCCGCCGCCCCCTGTCAGAATACCCAGCGGGATTTTGCGCGGTATCGCATGGCTAAATCGGCGCGATAAATCGCCTAGGTGTGAACTCGGCCTAAAGAAGATTTTCCAATAAGATTGTAAAGTAGACAGCCAGCGTAATTCCACTTTCCCAGGTGAATTTGGGAAATGGAATGACCCCCTCCAAACTGGCCCCCTCTCCCCCTCCTGCTATACTTACCTTTGGCCGAACAGTCTTTCCCCTCCGCCAATGCAGGTGTACCCAGTGCAGGGATGGCGAGTATGGAGTATGAATAGTACACCGGCATCGGTGGAGGGGAAGGAGCGTTCAAAGGTAAGTATAGCAGGAGGGAGGAGAGGGGTCATTCCATTTTCCCAAATCCGCCTGGGAAAGTGGAATTACTCTTTAATCAGATCTGATTGGACAATCTCCTTTAAATTTACCGTTTTAGCTATGTAGTAGTATGCAGGGGCCTGACTACAATCATACAGACTGAATGGAGGATTTATGTTTGTTCTCATATTACATTGTTTTGGTAAAGGAGATTGTACAATCTGATTGCATAGTGTATGGCCATCTTTAGGAAGATCCCCCCCTCCCCTTCATCTCTATTTGTCCTGGAGGCCATATATATATGCTCCAATATTTGGAGTTGAGGGGAAGTCCTCCGATGGGAACACCTGTTGTGGTGACAAGCTCCTTCACACATAAGTGCAACACAGAAAACAATTGTTCACACCACAATGCTGCATTCAGATGGGTTGCCTTGAGACATGCTGCATTTTTGCACAGGGCATGTCCCTGCACCGCATGTCCCTGCAGCACATTGCAGCACGCTGCAGTGCCTGGACTTGAATGAAGTGTCATTTTTGTGACATTTCAATAAAAAGAAAGGTAAACAGTTCCTTGTGTTATAACAACGCAAAGCACCGTCCCTATACAATGGACACCGGCGTTGCAGGCTGGTGTGAACAAGCGATAAGAGGCCAGAGATTTATCTCATTTCCTTTAGTGTCTATAGGACAGGAAGTGAAGGGAAATCTACTCTATGGGAAAGGGATGGAAAAAAACTGACTATTCATTAATCTAAAATGGAGAAAAATGTTGGCATTAGACACACTTTACCACAGGGGTGGCCAACTCCGGCCCTCCAACTGTTGTGGAACTACAAGTCCTCACTTTACCTCATCATTCTATGGCCTATGCTGCCTTTATTTTGTGCTCTGCTTCTGGATTTGGAGTCTTTGTCTGTCTTGATTGGCTGCGATGACATAGCTCTGCATGGGAGTTACTCTGCCCTAGCACCCACGGCATGCTGAGCTTGTACACTGAGCTGCACAATTAGAACACAAATGCTGGCAGCCAGAGAAGAAGCATTTATTACTCTGCCCCTCCTGCTGTGGTGAAACTACAAATCCCATCATGCATCTGTCTCTTGGAGTCGTGGCTGTTAGAATCTTGCAATGCCTCATGGGACTTGTAGTTCCACAACAGCTGGAGGTCCGGAGTTGCCCACCCCTGTTATATCCCGTTTGCAAATACTAAGCCCTACTCATGAAATATTCATTCCATTAACGGCCGCTGGTCTATAATTAATGATTGAACAGCTGTGACTGGTTACCTGCTGAATCTAGCAAATAGGAAATATTTATGATGTATTTTTAGTTCTAGTTTGAAGTATTTTGCTGAATATCCTTCCCAGACAAGTTGAAATATATAGCAGATGTGTTCCATCCAGTCGGTAAATTTATTCAATGTGAACTTTTTAGCCTAAACCGGTGCTGCTATGGTAACAATCTGGGAATTCTGCCAAGCACAGTGTTGCTACATTTTACAATATTGTTACATTGCAAAATGAGGTGCCATGCTAATTTAAAGCAGGGGTAGGCAAACGCTGGCCCTCCAGCTGTGGTAAAACTACAAATCCCATCATGCATCTACCTCTGGGAGTCATGCCTAGTGCTGTCAGAACCTTGCAGTGCCTCATGGGATTTGTAGTTGGAGGGCCGACATTTGCCTGCCCCTGATTTAAAGTGTCCAGCCAGAACTTTTTTTTTTTGAACAGAGTATGGAATGGTTAAAATCCCTGACACTTTTTATTGCTATGTTTTATTGAGGTGAATTTACTTCACTTCCTGTCTGGAGATAGAACAGGAAGTGAGAGGCCATCTCTTTAAAGTAAGAGACATACTCTCTAGGACAGTTTTCAACAGAGATAGTGTCAACGTGGGAAGATCTCCCCTCTGCTCCTGATCCGGTGACAAGTCCCAATGTCCCCTCATTTTCAGTCCCTGTGACAGTGGTCACTAGGACAAGTATAGAAGGTGAATCTCCAACGGGGACAGAATGAGGTTCTACCCCCCCAAAAAATGTTTTTTATTCACACAATGATACAACATATTTAGTATTTCGCTGCCCTGGAGATGGAGACTAAAGAGGGACACCCCCCCTCCCCCCCTATCTTTGGTGCTCTTATTATGCTGGAATAAAATACATGTAAGCCCAATTGATACAGCGTTGTCCACTTCTCTTGTACCACTCTCCTTTAACTTGTCCTTATTCCAAATACAAATCCCATCATGCATCTGTCTCTGGGAGTCATGTCCAAGGCTGCGAGAATCTTGCCATTCCTCATGGGATTTGCAGTTCCACTACAGCTGGAGGGCCGAAGTTTGCCCACCCCTGGATTACTGCTTCCTGGGATATATGATGTTGGTATCCCAGAAGGCTGCAGGAGGCGGATAAAACGTCGTTCTCGCCTAGTTGAGAATAACGGCGGGGGGTGGGACCAGCAGGAAAAAAACAAAAAATGAAATAGGAAAACGAATGTTCTGCAAATGGAGTGGTCGGTGGATTAGGCTGGCACAAATTTGTCTTTTAGCGTGAAGGTCTGCTTAAAGCTAGTCACCTGTAACAGGGTGATTTGGATACAGCAGGGGTGGGCAACTCCAGCCCTCCAGCTGAGCTTTAACTGCAAATCCCATCATGCCTGTAGACTGTAACTGTTAGTCTTGCAATGCCCCATGGGACTTGTAGTTCCACAACAGCTGGAGTTGTCCACCCCTGGGATACAGATGCTTTCCACTGCAGTTTAACAGTTCAACGAGAGATGCATTTTACTGACTATACTGGGAGATTAAAAAACTTGGTGAATTGGTGTCTCTTCCCCCCCCCACCCCCCCATTTAAATTACACAAACATTTTCCCCCTCTTTGGCTGATTTGTTTCCTTTTCCATGGAGAAAAGGCCACTGGCTGACTGCAGAGGATCCCGATCCTTACCCTGGCATTGACATTGCTATTACTCATCAGATAGTAGGAAGTAGTTACACGTGATGTTCGAATTGGCAGGCCAGTCTGGCAGGCTAAACTGGTCCACCATGGGATTGCCCGTTCACTTTATAGCAGTGGTTCTCAACCTGTGTAAC